AATATTTTTATCTCAAATAAGTGTAAAATATCCCAATAAAAGTATAAAAATATCCCAACAAATACAGGATTTTAGGAATATTTTCTTTCCCAAATAATGTAAAATATCCCAATTTTTTTACCCCAAATTAATGTAAAATGTCTCTATATTTTTGCCCCAAATAAATGTAAAATATCACAATATTTTTACCCCAAATTAATGTAAAATATCCCAATATTTTGTTCCCTAAATAAGTGCAAAATATCCCAATAAAAGTGTGAAAATATCCCAACAAATACAGGATTTTAGGAATATTTTCTTCCCCAAATAAATGAAAAATATCCCAATATTTTCTACCCCAAATAAATGTAAAATATCCCAATATTTTCTTCCCTAAATAATTGCAAAATATCCCAATAAAAGTGTAAAAAATAGTCCCAACAAATACAGGATTTTAGGAATATTTTCTTCCCCAAATTACAGTAAAATATCCCAATATTTTCTTCCCTAAATAAGTGTAAAATATCCCAATAAAAGTATAAAAATAGTCCCAACAAATACAGGATTTTAGGAATATTTTCTTCCCCACATAAATGTAAAATATCCCAATAATTTTATTTCAAAGAAGTGGAAAAAATCTCAATATTTTCTTCCCTAAATAAGAGTGAAATATCCCAATAAAAGTGTGAAAATACAGGATTTTAGGAATATTTTCTTGCTGACATAAATGTAAAATATCCCAATATTTTCTTCCCTAAATAAGTCTAAAATACTCCAATATTTTCTTCCCTAAATAATTGTAAAATATGCCAATAAAAGTGTAAAAATAGTCCCAACAAATACAGGATTTTAGGAATATTTTCTTCCCTAAATAAGTGTAAAATATCCCAGTATTTTAACCACAAATAAGTGGAAAATGTCCCTATATTTTTACCCCAAATTAATGTAAAATATCCCAATATTTTCTTCCCCAAATAATTGTAAAATATCCCAATAAAAGTGTAAAAATATCCCAACAAATACAGGATTTTAGGAATATTTTCTTCCCCACATAAATGTAAAATATCCCAATATTTTCTTCCCCAAATTAATGTAAAATATCCCAATATTTTTATCTCAAATAAGTGTAAAATATATCAATAAAAGTGTGAAAATAGTCCCAACAAATACAGGATTTTAGGAATATTTTCTTCCCCAAAATAATGTAAAATATCCCAATATTTTCTTCCCTAAATTAATGTAAAATATCCCAATAATTTTATTTCAAATAAGTGGAAAAAATCCCAATATTTTCTTCCCTAAATTAATGTAAAATATCCCAATAAAAGTGTAAAAATAGTCCCAACAAATACAGGATTTTAGGAATATTTTCTTCCCCAAAAAAATGCAAAATATCCCAATATTTTTACCCCAAATAAATGTAAAATATCCCAATATTTTTTTCCCAAATTACTGAAAAATATTCCAATGTTTTCTCCCCCAAATAAGTGGAAAAAATCCCAATATTTTTATCTCAAATAATTGTAAAATATCCCAATATTTTTATCTCAAATAAGAGTTAAATATCCCAATAAAAGTGTAAAAATAGTCCCAACAAATACAGGATTTTAGGAATATTTTCTTCCCCAAATAATGTAAAATATCCCAATATTTTCTTCCCCAAATAAGTGTAAAATATCCCAATATTTTTATTTCAAATAAGTGGAAAAAATCCCAATATTTTCTTCCTTAAATAAGAGTAAAATATCCCAATAAAAGTGTAAAATGGTCCCAACAAATACAGGATTTTAGGAATATTTTCTTCCCCAAATTAATGTAAAATATCCCAATATTTTCACCCCAAATTAATGTAAAATATCCCAATATTTTCTTCCCTAAATAAGTGTAAAATATCCCAATAAAAGTGTAAAAATAGTCCCAACAAATACAGGATTTTAGGAATATTTTCTTCCCCAAATTAATGTAAAATACCCCAATAATTTTATTTCAAATAAGTGGAAAAAATCCCAATATTTTCTTCCCTAAATAAGAGTGAAATATCCCAATAAAAGTGTAAAAATAGTCCCAACAAATACAGGATTTTAGGAATATTTTCTTCCCCAAATTAATGTAAAATTTCCCAATATTTTCTTCCCCAAATAAAGTTAAATACCCCAATATTTTCTTCCCTATTCCAAATTTTTTTTTTTTTTTCCTCTGGAATTCAAACTTTTCTGGGAATTTCCACAGGTTTTTCCTAAACTCCAGGCTTGTCTTTGTGGGTTTTTTTTTTTCCATGGAATTTCCATGGAATTCTTTGTGAATTTTTTTTTTCCCCATGGAATTTCCATGGAATTCTTTGTGGGTTTTTTTTCATGGAAATCTGTGGAATTCCCATGGAATTATTTCAATTTTTTTTTTCCCCCATGGAATTTCCATGGAATTATTTGTATTTTTTTTCCCCCCCATGGAATTTCAATGGAATTCTTTGCGGATTTTTTTCCCCATGGAAATCCATTGAATTCCCATGGAATTATTTCAATTTTTTTTTCCCCTGTGGAATTTCAATGGAATTCTTTGTGGATTTTTTTTCTCCATGGAATTTCAATGGAATTCTTTGTGGATTTTTTTTTCCCCCATGGAATTTCCATGGAATTCTCATGGAATTATTTCTATTTTTTTTCCCCATGGAATTTCCATGGGATTCTTTGTGGGTTTTTTTTTTTTCCCCATGGAATTTAAATGGAATTCTTTGTGTGTTTTTTCTCATGGAATTCCATGGAATTCCCATGGAATTCTTTGGGATTTTTTTCCCCATGGAATTCCATGGAATTCCCATGGAATTATTTCCATTTTTTTCCCCCATGGAATTTCAGTGGAATTATTTCAATTTTTTTTTCCCTCATGGAATTTCCATGGAATATCTTTGGGATTTTTTTTCCCATGGAATTTCCATGGAATTCTTTGTGGGGTTTTGTGATTGAATTCCATGGAATTTCCATGGAATTCTTTGTGGTTTTTTTTTCCCATGGAAATCCATGGAATTTCTATAGAATTTTTTGTGATTTTTTTTTTTTTCTCATGGAAATCCACGGAATTTCCATGGAATTCTTTCTGGTTTTTTTTTTTATTTTTTCCCCATGGAATTCCAGTTCCTGGAGAGAAATCTCCGCCCCATGAAGGGGATGTTTTTGTGGGATTTTCCCATGGAATTTCCATGGAATTCTTTGTGGGTTTTTTCTCCATGGAATTTTTTGTGGGGCTTTTCCTAGGGAAATCCATGGAATTTTCCATGGAATTCTTTGTTTTGTTTTTTTTTTTCCCCATGGAATTTCCCATGGAATTCTTTGTGGGGTTTCCCCCATGGAATTCCATTGAATTTCCATGGAATTCTTTGGGGGTTTTTCCACCCCCCACATGGAATTTCCATGGAATTCTTTCTGATTTTTTTTTATTTTTTCCCCATGGAATTCCAGTTCCTGGAGAGGAAACTCCATCAGATCAAGGGGTTGTTTTTGTGGGATTTTCCCATGGAATTCCCATGGAATTCTTTGTGAGGTTTTTCCCCATGGAATTTTTTGTGGGGTTTTTCCTAGGGAAACCCATGGAATTTTCCATGGAATTCTTTGGGTTTTTTTTTTCCCATGGAATTTCCCATGGAATTCTTTGTGAGGTTTTTATCCATGGAAATCCATAGAATTTCCATGGAATTCTTTGTGGAATTCCAGCGCCTGAAGAGGAAACTCCGTCAGACGAAGGAGATGTTTTTGTGGGTTTTTCCTATGGAATTTCCATGGAATTCTTTGTGAATTTTTTATTTTTCCCCCTGTGGAATTCCAGCTCCTGGAGAGGAAGCTCCGGCACATGAAGGAGATGTTTCTGTGGGATTTTCCCATGGAATTCCCATGGAATTCTTTGTGGGGTTTTTCTCCCCCCCCCCATGGAATTTCCATAGAATTCTTTGTGGGGTTTTTCCCCAATGGAATTCCATTGAATTTCCATGGAATTCTTTGTGGGTTTTTTTTTCATGGAATTCTTTGTGGGGTTTTTCCTAGGGAAAACCATAGAATTTCCATGGAATTCTTTGTGGAATTCCAGCTCCTGGAGAGGAAGCTCCATCAGATGAAGGAGATGTTTTGTGGGTTTGTCTTTGTGGGTTTTTCCCATGGAATTTCCATGGAATTCTTTGTGGGGTTTTTTTCCCCCTCCATGGAATTTCCATTGAATTTCCATGGAATTCTTTGTGGGGTTTTTCCCCATGGAATTCCATTGAATTTCCATGGAATTCTTTGTGGAATTGCAGCTCCTGGAGAGGAAGCTCTGGCAGATGAAGGAGATGTTTCTGTGGGTTTGTCTTTGTGGGTTTTTCCCATGGAATTTCCATGGAATTCTGTGTGGAATTCCAGCTCCTGGAGCGGAAGCTGCGGCAGATGAAGGAGATGTTTTTGTGGGTTTGTCTTTGTGGGATTTTCCCATGGAATTTCCATGGAATTCTTTGTGGGGTTTTTTCCCCCCCCATGGAATTTCCATGGAATTCTTTGTGAGGTTTTCCCCCATGGAATTCCGTAGAATTTCCATGGAATTCTTTGTGAATTGCAGCTCCTGGAGAGGAAGCTCCGGCAGATGAAGGAGATGTTTTTGTGGGATTTTCCCATGGAATTTCCATGGAATTCTTTGTGGGGTTTTTTTTCCATGGAATTCTTTGTGGGGTTTTTTTTTCCATGGAATTCTTTGTGGGGTTTTTCCTAGGGAAATCCATGGAATTTCCATGGAATTCTTTGTGATTTTTTTTTCCTCATGGAAATCCATGGAATGCTGGTGGAATTCTTTGTGGGGTTTTTCCCCATGGAAATCCATAGAATTTCCATGGAATTATTTGTGGGTTTTTTCTCCATGGAATTCTTTGTGGGGTTTTTCCTAGGGAAATCCATTGAATTTCCATGGATTTTTTTGTGATTTTTTTTTTTTCTCATGGAAATCCATGGAATTCCCATGGAATTCTTTCTGATTTTTTTTTTTATTTTTCCCCTGTGGAATTCCAGTTCCTGGAGAGGAAACTCCGCCAGATGAAGGGGTTGTTTTTGTGGGATTTTCCCATGGAATTTCCATGGAATTCTCTGTGGAATTGCAGCTCCTGGAGCGGAAGCTGCGGCAGATGAAGGGCTTGCACCACCTGAACCAGGTGAAGCTGGATTACAACCTGGACGTGCTGCGGCAGCTGGACATCGAAAACTCCACGCTGAGATCCCTGCAGAAACGGAAAATCAACCGGTAAATCCCGAACCCGACGGAATCCCATCCCAAAATCCGGGCTCTCCGTCACTTCCCAGGGAATCCCAAAGCTTTTCCTGCATCCCAAAATCCGGGCTCTCTTTTCCCGCATCCCAAAATCCGGGCTCTCCGTCCTTTCCCATGGAATCCCATCCCGTTCCCGAGCTTTTCCCGCATCCCAAAATCCGGGTTCTCCATCCCTTCCCAGGGAATCCCATCCCATTCCCAAAGCTTTTCCCACATCCCAAACTCCGGGCTCTCTTTTCCTGCATCCCAAACTCCGGGCTCTCTTTTCCCACATCCCAAAATCCGGGCTCTCCGTCCCTTCCCAGGGAATCCCAAATCTTTTCCCACATCCCAAACTCCGATCTCCCCGTCCCTTCCCTGGCAATCCCATCCCATCCCATTCCCGAGCATTTCCCACATCCCAAAATCCGGGCTCTTCCATCCCTTCCCAGGGAATCCCAAAGTTTTTCCCGCATCCCAAAATCCGGACCCTCCATCCTTTCCCAGGGAATCCCATCCTGTTCCCGAGCTTTTCCCGCATCCCAAACTCCGGGCTCTCCGTCCCTTCCTATGGAATCCCATCCCATTCCCAAAGCTTTTCCCGCATACCAAAATCCGGGCTCTCCATCCCTTCCCTGGCAATCCCAAAGTTTTTCCCGCACCCCACAATCCGGGCTCTCCGTCCCTTCCCATGGAATCCCATCCCATTCCCAAAGCTTTTCCCGCATCCCAAAATCCGGGCTCTCTTTTCCTGCATCCCAAAACCCGGGCTCTCCGTCCCTTCCCAGGGAATCCCAAAGCTTTTCCTGCATCCCAAAATCCGGGCTCTCCATCCCTTCCCAGCGAATCCCAAACCATTCCCAAAGCTTTTCCTGCATCCCAAACTCCGGGCTCTCTTTTCCCACATCCCAAACTCCGATCTCTCCGTCCCTTCCCAGGGAATCCCAAACCATTCCCAAAGCTTTTCCCACATCCCAAAATCTGGGCTCTCCATCCCTTCCCAGGGAATCTCAAACCATTCCCAAAGCTTTTCCCGCATCCCAAAATCCGGGATCTCTGTCCTTTCCCAGGGAATCCCAAACCATTCCCAAAGCTTTTCCCACATCCCAAAATCCAGGCTCTCCATCCCTTCCCAGGGAATCCCAAACCATTCCCAAAGCTTTTCCTGCATCCCAAAATCCGGGCTCTCCATCCTTTCCCAGGGAATCCCATCCCATTCCCAAAGCTTTTCCTGCATCCCACAATCCAGGCTCTCCATCCGTTCCCAGGGAATCCCAAATCTTTTCCCACATCCCAATATCCGGGCTCTCTTTTCCTGCATCCCAAAATCCGGGCCCTCCGTCCTTTCCCATGGAATCCCAAACCATTCCCAAAGCTTTTCCCGCATCCCAAAATCCGGGCTCTCTTTTCCCGCATCCCACAATCCGGGCTCTCCGTCCCTTCCCAGGGAATCCCATCCCATTCCCGAGCTTTTCCCGCATCCCAAAATTCAGGCTCTCTGTCCTTTCCATGGAATCCCATCCCATTCCCAGGCTTTTCCCACATCCCAAAATCCAGGCTCTCTTTTCCCGCATCCCAAAATCCGGGCCCTTTTTTCCCGCATCCCAAAATCCGGGCTCTCTTTTCCCGCATCCCAAAATCCGGCTCTCCGTCCCTTCCCAGGGAATCCCAAAGCTTTTCCCGCATCCCAAAATCTGGGCTCTCCGTCCTTTCCCAGGGAATCCCATCCCATTCCCAAAACTTTTCCCGCATCCCAAAATCCGGGCTCTCCGTCCCTTCCCAGGGAATCCCATCCCATTCCCAAAGCTTTTCCCACATCCCAAAATCCGGGCTCTCTTTTCCCACATCCCAAAATCCGGGCTCTCTTTTCCTGTATCCCAAACTCCGGGCTCTCTGTCCTTTCCCAGGGAATCCCTTCCCAGGGAATCCCATCCCATTCCCAGGCTTTTCCCACATCCCAAAATCCGGGATCTCTTTTCCCGCATCCCAAAATCCGGGCTCTCCGTCCCTTCTCAGGGAATTCCATCCCAGGGAATCCCATCCCATTCCCAAAGCTTTTCCTGCATCCCAAACTCCGATCTCTCCGTCCCTTCCCAGGCAATCCCATCTCGTTCCCAAATCTTTTCCCGTATCCCAAACTCCGGGATCTCCATCCCTTCCCAGGGAATCCCAAACCATTCCCAAAGCTTTTCCCGCATCCCAAACTCCGATCTCTCTTTTCCCGCATCCCACAATCCGGGATCTCCATCCTTCCCCAGGTTCCGGACCACGCTGGAGCTGCTGAAGGCCAGGATGGCCCAGCAGGAGGTGAAGTTCCAGGAGGAGAAGCAGAGCCTGGAGCTGGAGCTGGAGCGCGTGGTGGGGCAGTTCCAGGAGACGCGCGACAGGATGAGGTGGGGACGCTCGGGATTCCGGGGGGATCCCTGGCCTGGGAAAAATGGGGGGTTCGGTTTGGCTTCTTGGGAATTGTTAATATGGAATAATAGGAATTAATTGAAATATTAAAATTAATTTTTAATGAATTAATTAACACATAGTATATTATATTATGTTATATTATATTACATTACATTACATTGCATTGCATTACATTACATTACATTACATTATATTATATTACATTACATTACATTACATTACATTACATTACATTACATTACATTATATTATATTATATGTGTAAGGGTTTCATTTTGGCTTCTTGGGATTGTTAATATGGAATAATAGGAATAAAATGAAATATTAAAATTTAATTTTTATTTAATTCATTCATTAACATATATTATATGTGTCATGTTAGGTTTTCATTTTGGCTTCTTGGGATTGATAATGTGGAATAATAGGAATGAAATGAAATATTAAAATTAATTTTTAATGAATTATTTAATTAATTAACATATATTATATTATATGTGTTATGTTAGGGTTTCATTTTGGCTTCTTGAGATTGGTAATGTGGAATAATGGGAATGAAAGGAAATATTAAAATTAAATTTTTAATTAATTCATTCATTAACACATATTATATTATATGTCTTAGGGTTTAATTTTGGCTTCTTGGGAATTGTTAATGTGGAATAATAGGAATTAATTGAAATATTAAAATTTATTTTTAATGATTTAATAAATTAATTAACACATATTATACGTGTCATGTTAGGGTTTCGGTTTGGCTTCTTGGGATTGTTAATATGGGGTAATATGAATTAATTGAAATATTAAAATTAATTTTTAATTAATTTACACATATTATATTATATGTGTTATGTTAGGGTTTCATTTTGGCTTCTTGGGATTGGTAATGTGGAATAATGGGAATGAAAAGAAATATTAAAATTAAATTTTTAATGATTTAATTAATTAATTAACACATATTATATGTGTCATGTTAGGGTTTCATTTTGTCTTCTTGGGAATTATTAATATGGAATAATAGGAAAGAAATGAAATATTAAAATTAATTTTTTAATGATTTAATTAATTATTAACACATATTATATGTGTCATATTAGGGTTTCGTTTTGGCTTCTTGGGAATTGTTAATGTGGAATAATGGGAATGAAATGAAATATTAAAATTAATTTTTAATGATTTCATTAATTAATTAACACATATTATATTATATTATATTATATTATATTATATTATATTATATTATATTATATTATATTATATTATATTATATTATATTATATTATATTATA